TGCTGACTTTCAGACTGACAGCGGCGCTTAAAGCTCTCAACGCTGCCATCGGTTCTGAAACCTGCAAGCATGGAGATGCGTTTGTGCTTCACATCGGTCTGGCGGCGGTGCTTGAAGCTCTCAACGCTGCCATCGGCGATGAAACCTGCAGGATCCCAAAATCTGACTGGGTCCTGCACACCGAAATCGATGTCACCAGCACGCAAAGACGATGCACCATAGTTGGGACAGTCACCCCAGGCACTTACAAGCATGGAGATGCGTCCGTGTTTCACTTCGGTCTGACAGCGGCGCTTGAAGCTCTCAACACTGCCATCGTCAGTAAATCCTGCGGGATCGCGAAATCTGACTGGAACCTGCACATCGAAATCGATCTCAAAAACATGCAAAAACGATGCAGTGTACTTGGGACAGTCATTCCAGGCGCTTGCAAGCATGGAGATGCGTCCGTGCTTCACTACGGTCTGGCGGCGGCGCTTGAAACTCTCAACGCTGTCATCAACGAAAAACCCTGCGGGATCCCAAAATCTGACTGGGTCCTGCACACCGAAATCGATTTCACCAGCATGCAAAGACGATGCACCATAGTTGGGACAGTCACCCCAGGCACTTACAAGCATGGAGATGCGTCCGTGTTTCACTTCGGTCTGACAGCGGCGCTTGAAGCTCTCAACACTGCCATCGTCAGTAAATCCTGCGGGATCGCAAAATCTGACTGGAACCTGCACATCGAAATCGATCTCAAAAACATGCAAAAACGATGCAGTGTAGTTGGGACAGTCATTCCAGGCGCTTGCAAGCATGGAGATGCGTCCGTGCTTCACTGCGGTCTGGCGGCGGCGCTTGAAACTCTCAACGCTGTCATCGGCGAAAAACCCTGCGGGATCCCAACATCTGACTGGGTCCTGCACCCCGAAAGACGAAGCAGTGTAGTTGGAACAATCACCCCAGGTGCTTGCTAGCAAGGAGATGCGTCCGTGCTTCACTTCAGAGCAATGTCCAAAGTCAAAACCGATCTCAGGCGCCGGCCCAGGATGCGATGCCTCGCCTATACGTTGGCCAACATGTGCATCATGATTGCGGGTTTTGGCCGGGCGCAAGAAACAAAGGCAGCTGCACAAGTCCAACGATAGCCACCGTGCACGGTCGCCCGGCTCTTGCGCATACGGTACGGCACTAGGGTCGAAAAGAGGCCTAAACCTTAGGGGGGAAGGGGAAACCGACTTCTCATCATCAGCTTCCTTGCCGCAGCTTCCTTCGACAAAAGGCCTTTGCCTAACGACACACCCGCACAGAGAAGGCCTAAACCCGGGGAGGGGAGGGGAAACCCTGTGCAAGTTAGCCAGGCAAGTGCAGTCATTCTCACAAACACCGGCACTAAGCTCAAGCTCTCCTGTCGAAGTGCTACAACCTGTCAAGTCGTGACTGCCCTCTTCGACGAAAGTCTCCCATGCCATGGCGTCGCAAAAGGAGGCTTCACTACACGGGGGCCCAAGCTCGGGGCCGGTCGGGAGTCGAGGTGGGTCACGGGGCTCAGGAGATTGGCCATCGTGGCTCTTAGCCCATTCACGGGTCTTCTCACTTTCTTGGGGTCTTTGGGTCCCCTCCCCGTTATTGATTTTTCTTGTTTCGCAAAGCACAAAACTAGCACCACGGTCCTGAGAAACAACACGCTGGTCAGCCCCAACAAAGGCTGCAGCCCACGGTTCAGAAGGACCATCGGCAACATATGCCGCATGCTGTGCGTCAGCTTCAGAAGCAAGCTTAGCATAGTATCGGAAATCCTCATCCAAAGTTTCCTCGAAACAGTTTAGCTGTGCTCGCCCTGAAGCGAGGTCATAATACCAGAACTCCGCATCCAGAGAGGCTTCGGAAAGGTCCGGAGTCAGGCATTCAGCAGTAAGATTTGTAGCAGGCTGTGCGCAGCTCACGTTACCACCACCTGGTGATTCCTCAAGAGGGAAATTCTCCGGCAAACCAAATTGCAAAAGTACAGTCGACAGAGAATGAAAATCATGCTCCGAGGTGTCACTTGAATCATCGCTCGTGCACTCAGTTTTCTGAATGTTCTCAAGAAGGGAAGCAGGAGTGTCTTGCTCGGCTGTGGGACCTCGCACTGCTTCCACCATGTCATTGTTGCAAATGTCGTCGCATTGATCGTCGTCTCCCGTGGGACGGCCAAGGCCTTCCCGCTTCAGCTCATTGTAATCTTCTGGCTCCTGTGCCCACTTTGGCAAAATGCCAAAGGAGCCCTCGCAGAACCAAAGCATGCTAGGCATCACACCCCTAGCCTGCATGCAATGAAGATCACTTTCCGCCTGGCGCAGGCGTCGCTCTCTGCAATTCACGATGAAGCCCACCAAGCTTTGAATGGTTCGCATGTCCCCACTTACACCAGAAAGGTGATCCCTGACATGACTGACATTCAACTTGGAAGCTCCAGAGGGCACGAGAGGTAGGCTCGGGCCGCTGTAGCAATCAAGGTGGGCCGCCATGGCCCGAAACTTCGCTCTTATGTGATAATCGTAGGTGGACATGCCACCTGAAGAAGGAGCCATGGCTGGATCCCTCCCGGCCGCCAGCAATCTTAGCCGCCACTACCCTGGCGTTGCCCGCTTTGGAGCGCTTGGAGCTACTTGCTGAAGCCAAAGCTCCGTGATGCGAACATTTGCAAGATCTGAAAGGGTCTGCAATTTTTGGTGCCGCACTGACAGCAGCGTGGAATGAAGCGGAATGGCAGTACCTGGCGGGGTGGATTTGAATTTGAGGTCTGCTGTAAGATGGTGCTGTAATTGGTGCCACACTTCCGGTGATATCGAGTAATTCGTCGCCGCAGGACTAAACAAGTCGTGATAGAATGTATGAAGGAGTGCTTTCATAGAAGGGAAAAGGTGGCAGGCCCAAAGGGCCAGGCCAACGAACCGTTCAAGATCCTTTTTGGAAAGTTTTGGATTTCGCTGAAGATCCTGGACCATCCCCAACAATTTGAGACGTTTCTGCTCCTGCAATAAGACTACCCCCGCAGTATAATCAAAGTCCCAACCTATCCACTGGACCCGACTATGCAGTTGAAGTTTGCGCCAAGATAAGGGAAGGCCAATAACCTGAAAGAAAAGGCATATCATAGCCCCCGTCATGGGCATGATCGCTGCCAGTTGCGAGAACAAATAGTCATCCACGAACAAATGACCCGTGTGGCTAATGAAGATGAGCACATGCAAAATGCGAAGGATACATGATCCGAGTCTGCCCCACCAGTGCTGGGCAAAGACTGCACCGAAAGGTGCCACGCGGTAAAAGTATAAGGCATCATCCTAAGAAAACCCGAGCAAGCCATGTTCGGCAGGTGTTACGAACACCCTTTTATGGGCGGATTTCACGTCCAAGGATATGGCCGACTGCCTAGCATTGCACTCGCGGAGTGGGTAGCTATTGATCACGTCTCTTGCAGATGGCATGTGTTGACTCTCCGGGACATCACAATTGGCGTTCGTCCCGCAAACCGAATTGTCAAGTACTAGTCTCTCTGCACGCCCTGGAGCGCGAACGACAGAAAGCTTCCCTATTGCTAGTGCTGGCCATTTTTCTTTGGCTTCGGCTAACGACCCTTCAAACTTATAGCAGAAGCCTTGATTGAGTTCTTCATCAAGGAGCGCTTGCGTAACTGAGGGCTCGACCGATGCTGAACGCCAGTTCTGCATGTGGATCGTTAAGGGAACATCTTCAACATTGGATTTTTGGTTTGGCCAAAAACAGTGGGAAGGCGGGATATCGTTGTTGTAGCCTGTAGGAACACCGCGCTGCAAACAAGGGAATAAATTGATGTCTGGATCCCCGCAAATGCTCGAAAGTTTCTCCAGGACACGCAAGGCCAGGGGCTGGTGTTCCCGAACTTGCCACATTTGATCATCCTCAGGCAACCCCAAGCTTGCAAGAAATCCCTGCCTAACCTCTGAAACCTCGGACTGTGTAAATAATGGTTCGGGGCTGGGCCACGCTGCCTTTGCAAGTTATCGTTCGAAGATCGTGCTTTGTGTTTTAATGTCTATCATGTTTGAACCTTCAGGGATGAATGCTTGCACTCGCACATGCCACATGCAAGTAAAAGCTCGACGCTATTTTCACACGTTGGGGTAGCAAGTACCGCACACGGCGGTCCTGTGAGACACAAGACTCTTTTTGTCCCCTTCGAAAGGAGAACTAGCCACTCTCAAGCCGTGCACGGCTCACAAACTGAACCTTAGTGAACGGCCTGCCAGTCGAAGACGAGCAAGACCGAGTAAACTGCGAAGCAGAGAGCCAAGACCCGAACCAGGTCTTATGCATAAAGCATACCTGAGTGTCCTCAAACTGAGGTCCAAAGCTTCCTGAGGTAGCACAACACTGATGCAATCTCTGCACTTTCCACGAATCAATTAGGGTGGAGAGGGTGGGTATTTCAAATAAAACTCTCGCCCGATTCAGGGCTTCCTGCCCCTTCGAGAGGTCAAGCTGCAACGGACGAATGTGTTCTTCAACTTGTTTACAACATGTATGAATGAGGGTTCATAAAAAGGCAGTATGAAAGAAAAGCCCTAAAACAACAAATCAAAATTGGACTCAGTTCTCTGAGTCATTTTGTCATGTTGTTTTTCTTCGAACGATAAAGCCATATCTTCTGCAAGTGTTCAAAGAATGTAACTTATCGTTCGAAGATCGTGCTTTGTGTTTTAATGTCTATCATGTTTGAACCTTCAGGGATGAATGCTTGCACTCGCACATGCCACATGCAAGTAGTTCAAAGCTCGACGCTATTTTCACACGTTGGGGTAGCAAGTACCGCACACGGCAGAAAACTTCGAACTGTCGGTCCTGTGAGACACAAGACTCTTTTTGTCCCCACTTCCAGGAGTCGCAGTGTTAAGCAGGCAGATTCGAAACTCTCTTCACAATCGATAACACCGCTTTGGTCGCCTCGACAGACTCGTCTTTCAAACCTAGTCTCTTGACTCTATCAAGTTTCATCCTCGATGGTTCATCTGCCAGATTAGCAGGTGATGCCACTCTCGCATACCACGGCAAGATGCCGTGGACATACTCCAGGAAATGACTTCATCGATAAGAATCCCCGCGACCCCTTTCTTCGAAGAGCCGGCGATGTATGCATGTCTCGCAGCATCATTATCGATATAACAAATCACTCCAGTCCCAGCAACAGCACCTGGCTGTTCGTATGATTCTGCGAAAGCAGCCGTCTTTTCGACCAAGAGCTTGAGACCGATCAAGACCCCGAACATCTCTAGCTCATATATGATGGTATGCTCATCCTGCAACGACATAGACTTGGCTTGCTGCTCTGAGATCGGCACGCTGAAGAAAGAGAGTGCCGAACCTGACCCGGTGAGAAGGACGCCCCCCAGGCCTCCAGTTCCTGACTCCGTTTCAAACGCCGCATCGGTAAGGATCATAAAAGTCCTGCATGAAACTTGTCCCACTAGCCTCGGTTGGGCCATGTCAAGGAACTTACCAAACTCTTCAAGTCGTTCCTTGGCCATCGACGAAAGCTTCGACCTGCCAGTGTAGGCATGCTTTGTCACCTCCGTCAGGCACCTTCTTCCCAGCCTACCGAAAAACTGGGCTTGAGCAAACTGCAGCCTACCCCGCAGTTGTAGAGCTTCCTTCTGAGTCATGGTTCCCTTGTCCAGAAAACCTTTGATCGCAGCAGTGAGTTCCTTGCGTCGTTTCTCAGTGTTCTTGACCTTCAGCACTCCGGACCCCGTCTGGTCAAGCTCGAAAAGAACGCCGAGGGCCTCGAAGCTAGTGTTCCACACCGTTGTTTTATCAGCTGACAGCTTCCAACCTAGCAGCTTCATAACTTCATCGAAAGCGTGTGAACACGAACTCCTATCTCCTCCAAGAGCGAGCAGAACAAAATCGTCGAAATAATTCGTGGTTGGGATTTTGGCCCCTTTGACCAAGATAGTCCAAAGAGCCCTCGCCACTCTGAGGAAAAAGTACACGGCCTTGGTAGAGCCGAAAGGCACAGCTAGTTGTTGGAACAACTTGGGCTTCTCCTCCGCCGGGTCGTAGACCGCGAGGTAAGAAAAATCTAAGCTTGTATCAGATACCGCCAGTTGTCTGTAAGCTCCCTTCAGATCCGCCGTTTTCCCGTACAATGCATTCAAGTTCTTCTTTCGAGCAGCACTCGAAAGTGTTGTTTATCAACAAAGCGATTTCGTCGATAGAGTGCGTGATGGGCTTTTCAGAGACTGTGACCGTATCGTTGATCAAACTCGATGAGTAGTTGTCAATAGGTCGCAGCTTATCTCCTTGTAGCAACGGAAAACGGGAGCTGACCAAACATCGTTTCGGCAATGACTCGAAATCATAAGGTCCCGAGAGGTATCCACTCTGTACCTCTTCCATCGTCTTATCCCACAACAGCTGATCGATTTCCTTATCACCCGATGAACCAGTCTTCGCCCGGATCTGCTGTTTGATTTCATCAGACATCCCCAAAAGATGTTCAGTGTCCAACCTAGCAGGCTTGAGCTTGGTATCCAACACCCCAGTGATAGGAATGTCCCCCGTCAGGGTGGCTCCGTCGATGAGTTCCTGAACCACACCCATATCATCATACCCAATATCTCGCAGCATCTCTTCGAACAACAAGATACGTTTGGGTTGAAGGATCTTCCTTCTGTGATCCGACATGCCAGCTTTCAGCTTGGTTTCCTCTGGTTCCAATTCTTTGGCTCGTCTGGCCCACTTCTCGATGTAGTTCTTCCTCTGAGAACGAACCATTCCCGGTTTATGAACTAGGTCGTGGACGAGGTCTCTGAGATCCTTGTTGCACTTGGATAACTTATGGTATGGGTGTCCAGTCTTACCTGCTTTGGCGATAAATTCAATGGGATCCCATGGGATGCCCACTCGCAAAACTGAGGCTCCATTCAAGTTTTGCATTTCCTGCTGAAGTTGCGGGCTCAATTGCCCCCCTGACTGAGTACGCGACAGAAGCTGGTAATCCTGTGGGAGCGCCCTAAGCTCCGGCAGCACACGGGCGCCGTGCGGAACCTTCCAGTCCTGTTTAAGGCGCTTCGACCCACCAAACGGATCCTCGACCTGCGGTGGCAGAAGGACATAAACCACCAACTTCCACTCAGACACCACTTCCGGCATCGCCCCACGTGGCTGATTCATAGCCGAAACCCGCAGCGATTTGTTAGTCAAGGCCGGGCTGCGACACGGCAGCTGTCGCTGAGTCAAACCTGCGATGAACACCTCAGCTACCGCCGTGGCAAAAGCCGGCGGATAGCCGGTCTGCGCCTCCGAGCGCTGCTGCACCTTATCTCTCACAGGCGCCGCCTCCCTGCGCACAGTGAGGACTTCTGGCATATTAGACAACACGAGGCTGCGCTGTTTGCTATGGGAGTCCCAAAACCGCCAATCCACCTCCACCTGGTGCGGAGGGTGCTGTGCTGACGGTAAGCGCTGCAAGCTCTCCCAAAATGGGGAGGACACCGAACCCTCAAGAATCAGGGGCAGGTTGTTGCTTCAGCAGCCCGCCATCGCTGCCAGAATGAAAGCTGTAGTGACAGGTTCCGAGGCATGTTTAGGAATACATATCATAACACCCGCAATCTTGCCTTTGTCAAGCCATGTTAGGACAGAGTCACAAGTCTCCCTCGTCGACAAGTCCATCTGAAGCACTGGGGCCATAGCCGCCTTCTGCTTGAATCGGTCCACTCCATAGGAAAAATAGCCCTGCTTAATCAAAGCTGAAGCCACACGAGCTTGGCCTGCAAAACACTGCAGAATGGCCCTGATTGGCTCCTGACTCTGAGGGGCTGAAGAATTGTCCTGCGATGCCACGAGAGGTGAGGGGAGCGCCCCCTCGCTCCCTGCGTGCTCCAAGGAAAACGACTCAGACGAAGCACTCGGCATCGTAGGAGGATCCAAAACTGTAGGTTCTACCAAAATCGGAGAATCGTGGACATCCACTATCTTAGAAGCAGGGTCCACTCCTACTCCAGAAGGTAGCGAAGCCGGGGCCGCGACATCAGCTACAGAGATACCACCTGAAACGGGTTCTTCCGAAGATGCCATCTCCACGTCCAACGCCAAAGCGACAGGGCAAGGCGGGGGATCCGCTAGTCACAGCTTCTTAGGCTTCAAAGGACACTTACCCACCGGGCGGTCACCGCCGCATTTGAAGATGCAGCAAGTATGATCGCCGGCTTACCGGCCCCCGAGCCTTTGCCCTTAGGCGACTTGCCCTTAGCTTGCCAGGTGTTCTTGCCTTTCCCTGTCCAATAATCAGAGCCTTTGGAGTTCCAACCGCCCTTACCTTTGCCATTCTTCCCCTTCCAGGGCGCAGCATCACCGTAAGGACCCGGGCGCCCGCCACGGCCATTAGCATTCTTGCCCTTACCATCCAAATCACCCATAGGCAAAAGAGCTACAATTAGGTCATAATCTTGAAGAATAGCCCCGATCGCGGAATCGAGCGGAAGAATGCCAGAAGCATCTGCTCGGATGTCCTCACCTGCCTCGGACAACTTGGAAAAGGCAAGCTTGTCAGCCCGCAAGATCTGACGAAGAGACACCTTCCTGTAACCAGGCTGAGCAGGCTTGGTCAAATACCTGAACAAAGACGAAACATAAGCTTCATGTCTTTCCCAACTGATCAAGCGAGCAAATGCATAAGCCACTCCTCTGCGGCGCAAGGCATTAAGGACTTGCAAAGAGCCCTCAATATCGCGATCATCCATACCAGCAGCCTCCGTAACCTTCAGCTTACCGCCTTCCAAGGACAGACTGGTGGTCAAAGGCTTGACGTTCTGAACCTCATCCTCACGGCTATGACACTTCTCTGGACCGATGTACTTCAGGCACCGACTCTCCCACTGCTGAACGGCCATGTCAAGTAATGCATGACTCGGCTCAAGTTGTCCAGTAAGCGAAACTCCGGCGAGCTGAGTCCGTAGCTGATCCATGCGAGCATTCCGCTCGGCTACCCCCACCTTTTTAGGGGAAGCGTGTTCAGCCGGTTCTGCCAGATCCTTCAAAGAAGCCACTAGCATGGTCTGAGCTTCCAAGATCAGGCGCCTTAAAGACGCCTTCTCGCCCACTGTGATGCCTACCAACATGGCCTCGCTCCACGTGTCAAACTCAGTCTGAGATAGCACCTGTCCCGCTTGTCCGACACAGAAGGCCAGCTGGGCCAAAGTAGACACCCCTTTACCTTTCAAGGCATCCACTACTCGCTTGGCGAGCGAGATTTCATCTGCTCGCTGCACAAAGAAAGGCGCCGAATCTACGGAACTCGTCATGGCTAAGTACCTGGCAACCGAAAAAGCTATCGAAGACGCAGCTCTCACAATGCACACCGAGCACTATAATAGGGCAACTGTTTGCTTTTCGAGCAGGCCAAGAAATCAAACTGCGCTCCGTGGAAAACACTTGGAACATTGCGGGTGCGCTTGCGCCCTAGCCATAGGAATGCGCCGATAATGATCGCCAAAAGCTCGGCCACACAAAAACATTGCCGACCCCAAAGTCGTGCGATGTAGGACCTGGCTAGTCGGATGAGCCCAGAAGGATTGTTCCTCCGGGGCTTCTTCATCAGAGTCTGAAACATCAGAAACCACAGCCAAAGCCTCATCTTGATCGTCCTCCACAGCCTCCTCCAGGACTTCCGAGTCCTGTGGAAAAGCAGCTGCCTGCAGGATAGATTCCCGAGTCCAACCTGATGCGAAATGACCCGAACGAGTCTGGTCCGGCAAGAATTTACCCGTCGCGACTGCATCCAGCACGACAACATACTCACGCAGTGCCGCACTCTGCAACTCACGTCCATAAACTGCATCGCTGCCAGTCGCAGCGTCCGAGTGATGGCCTAGAACTCGCTTAGTTTCGCGAAGCATCCCAAATTTGCTACACCAAACAAGTGAGGTAACCTTCAACGAGTGCGAACTCACGGCCTGTTCCGTCGATGGACGTGGCAGTAAATACCTCAGCCACCTGGTAATTTCGCTACTAGACAGCGGGTCGGAGGACCACGATCCATCCGGCAGAGGCGCCGGCAAAAATGGAACATCCGCCTGATCATTCGGCAAACCGGCCTCAGCCCTAATGTCCAGGAGGAGCTGACCAAAAGGGGTTTTGGCAATACCCTGGCCAGGAATCACCAGAGGCAATATACGACGTCGCTGAGTGTCCAGCCTAGACGTCTTGTGCTCCAGCGTCCCTAACTCAATGAAACCTGAACTCCAGTCCTCGTTGTGCACGTCTATCAAAATATGTTTGACACATCGGATGTCCGATGCTCTTGCCCTCGCATAGAGCATGGCAAGGAAATGCGCCGCCCCGCATCTATCAATGACAGAAATAGAGGGATCACAACAGATCGCATGCAGTTGGAGAACTTCGGACACCTTGAGGGGTGACGCCGGGCACCACGGGTTTTTAGTCTGTAGCGCCTTCTTCACCACACCATGAATTCGAGGGCTGCTGAAGACCTCTAGTTGAACACGTAGTCCCAAGGTATAATAACTCCACTTGATAGCACGCAGACTACTGTCCAGTGTGGTGGCCGCGGTCTTAGGCATCTTGAGGACACAATGAATGAAAGACCACAAGACTTTTTCCGCAAAGGGCGGAGTCTGACTTGCTTTCAAAAGCCACTCGCAAAAAGTCCGAACCGGACCCACATGTTTCAAGATGGTGTTCGGTGATTTCCCTGCCAAAACGGCCTGAACAGAATCCGGGCCGTCCTCCTCGTCATCTGCCATCAAAGTACACAGGTCGAAGAAACTCGAAAAGGCATGAAGTAATGTGAGGACCCGGCGGTACGCCTCATCACGACCATCCGCGGCCCTAGGCCCTCTTTTTGCCTTGACTGCACGAGTCCATGCCTGACAATGAGATCCACTCGTCACCGGATTCCCGGAATCTGAAGGTTGTGCTGCCGTCTGAGGAACAGACGAAGCCGGGACCACTCCCTGATAAGGCAAGTTCAAGCCCTGAGGGAAAGCCGCCTTCAATGGATCGAAGATGCACAGCATAGCCGGCTGTTCCCAAGGCTGCCGAGGCAGCGACGACCGAGCATGAGTGATGCTTCGCATGAACACTTCATTCTCACTCGCTCTAGGGTCGTGGCCAGACATCACAAGAAACCCTGGCAGGAACTACGCCCCACCACATCGGTCAAAACTTGAACCGACAGTACGTGAACAACAGGTTGCCAACAAAGAAAATACTTTCGCTGGGAATCTCCCCTCGCAGCACACACGAAGCGTAGCAAAGACCACTCAGGTCTAGCCCCCCTGAGGCGGGACAAATGGCACAACTTTTCATGTCGCGATTCCCGACGGTCTGCCACTTCCTCGTGGTTCATAGGAAGAGTATCCACCACCTCTGGTGTGAGCAATGCCAGCAAAAACCAAACTAGCAAGCTATAGATCGCCAAGAGATGACTCAGCACAACATCGGTAGTAGCTTACAATAACAACAATGCTCACAGCTGCAGGGACAACGCCGCTTAGCACGGCCACCCTACTGCGATTCCTCTCATAATCGCGTGTTTTGGGGAGATCAAAAAGTGATCCCCCGACCTGACCGATCCAGCGTCCCGGCAACAGATCTGCATCATGTCATTCCCCCCCTCCACAGCGGGGGTGCTCCGTGGCAACTCGCACTCTACGAGGACAATCGCCCCACCCAGGGCTTTAGCCCGACTCGCGCATTTTGTCGCTGCACTTCCCAGTGCATCTCGCGACAAGGTGACCAATGAACCTCGTGCCGAAAAACCGAAGCAGGGAGTTCCCTGATCGCGAAAATCGTTCACCGCGATCTCCCCTATCTCGGCCACGCCGACTAAAGAGGGGAAAGAGGTACCATGAGCCATGATAGCCGAATGGGCCGAGTTCGGATTGCGGATATAGCTTGGCCCGCGCAATTCGCAGGATAAGATCAAAATCCGTTGCCCAGGCACTCGAAAAATGTGAGCATCGGGTCCGACGACCAAGGGGGCGGCCGTAAGCCCGAAAGGCAGCAAGGACCGTGACCACGCGGGAAATCACAGAGGTCGGTATCGGACCTTCAAGTCCTTCCAAAAACTCCTTGTAGCCATGCGTGTCAGGAAACTTCTCGGCGATGGTCTTCCAAGGCATCTTCCACCACCACTGCAGTTTCCCCTGCTCTGCCAGTTCCCGAGCTGACAATGGGCGAGTGGGGTCTGCGCGCGCTTCATCCTGCGCCGACTTCCACAGGGCTGCGAGGTACGACTCTTCGTCGTCTGCCTCATCCTTATCAGCCTCTTTGGCAGACTTACGGGCGTCGGCTGCGGCCACTTCAGAAGGAGTGGCCTCTTGAATGTTGTGATGGTCTGGATCCGTCCAAGAGGACTGGTGGCCCGACCCTCGAGGCTCATTCGACCCCTGACTGGACCGATGCCACTGGTTCCAGCGCTTGCTCCATTGGCCCTGCTGCTTCTGCTGGCCTCCTCCGCGCCAGGGCTGGCGATTCCAAGTAGACTGCTGCTGAGGCACATGCACAGCAGGGGCAATCGGGGCAGGTGTCGAGGGAGGCGGCAAAGGTGGCTGCACCGGCGTCACTGGTACTTGCCTCCATTAATATCCCGGCGCTGCAGCCGGCAGCTGAGGCACCGGCGGGGGAAAAGGCGCAACAGCTCGCGCTCCCCTCGATCTTGATTCCCGGTCGCGTCTGCGATCACGGTTTCTGCTCCTCGAGCGCTCAGAGCTACTCGATGGAGAGCGCCGACGGCGCCGACGCCTCTCACCACCGAAAGGGGGCATCATCGGCCCCATCGGTCCCATTTGCCAAGGAAACATCCCTGCGTCACACACTCAGCACGTAGCTGAAACCGGGCTCCAGCCCTCCGAGACTCTGTCAAGCGCTTCGGCGCCTTGTCAAACACCCAGCACCAGGCTCCTGCCTTGCTTGCTTCTCTGATTTTTTTTTTTGGGCCGATGTCAAACGGCAACCGAATAGCTCATGCAATGAATGCTTCGATTAATCGTCAGTACGCAACCTCTGGCGCACACACTCACCAAACACGCGCTCTTGCGCCAGTTTTCTTTCCAAGACCGAGTCTCTGTCCCAACGCTCAGCCGTGGAGACCTAAGCACCGCAGCAAAAAGGGCAAAATCACTCAAACTAACACCTCGCTCCATCGACAAAGCCCTTTCTGGCTCCACAGCACTGGAAGAGAAGGCTCCGATCACAGAATCCTAAGGATGAAAGGTACACTGATACCGGCAGCAAGGCCGGCAAAAATCGAAAAATCACTCCTCAACCCGGCGGTCTCCGATCCGCCCGAGCAGCACATTCATGAAGATACGCAAAATGACAGCTGCATCTAAGCTGGGCTCTCACCAACATTTTAGCTGCTGCCCTAGGGTTGCCACGGCTGATCCTGGCATGGTGCATAACCGCCGCCGTGTGAGCCTCCACCGTGTATGTGCCTGCAGATTGCAGGTCAATGTCGCGGGAAACCTCAGCAGAAGTAGTAGCAGCAGCAAAAGACGGAGTGAGCTCCCCAGATGAAGAAGCTCCTGAAATCGTCGGCTTCCGCGAATCCGACTCTCGCGAAACATCAGCCTTGGCCTCGATGGCAGAGCTATCCGAGCCCGATGCAGGGCTCTTCTTTCTCGCCTTGCTATGCTTACGGGAAAACTTCTTTTTCCTCTTCGTCTTCTTCTTCTTAACCTTCTTCCCAGATTTAGGAGGAGGTTCCGGACTCAACGGCTCAAAAGCCGAGCTCCACGAAGACCAAGACCTGTCGTCCTCATCAGCCGGCCCTGTGACGACCGACATTGCAAACCAGTCTGAGAAGCAGACGGCTACACGAGTGCACGACAACACGGTGTAGAAAGCAATCCTCAACTCAGCACCACGTGTAATCCGCAAGTTCCTGCAGCAAAAACCTACACTCAACTCAAGCTTTTATGCGGTGCGAACGAATCTCACAGGTGACAATGTGCTGGCCACTAGCACTGGAGCTGAAAAACTCAGGTGCCTGCCATCCTGGACCAATTGAAAAGAGCTCAACTTAGGAAAGCTACCAACAAGCTCGAAAAGACGTTGTGATACGAAGTACTTCGCCTGATCGATAATATCTTTGCAACTCAACTGAAGATCGAGCGTGATGGGCTTATAGCTGGTTAGGCGATCAGTAACGACCACCTGCATCCTGAAGATATATCTCGGAGGCGTATCCCAGGGCAAGTTTGCCTCGCCCGCCTTTCTCTTCCTCTGAGCAAGAGGCAGGCTACACAAAGTCTCACGACGGGAGCTGAGGTTCCAGCAATCCTCGAGGAGCATGCTCCGGATCAGAATTGCGGCCAGCCCAAAACTTCCAATGAAGAAAGCAAGAAACAAGCATCTGCTGAGACTCCAACCGCGACACGCGATCGAAAAGGCGGTCAGCAAGCATGAGCTGCATTCTATGCAGCCGACAGATCTGGATCTGTAATCCACGCATGTGACGTAACACAAAGCTCTCAGTGGATGTAAACGAATCCGAGGGCGTCGGCGCCTCTGCTTCTTCGCCGGTCACTTCAGGGGATTGCATGCTCCTGAACCACAGGCCAGTGCTAAAATCGCACACCGAAAAACCAACAAAGCTCCAGCTAAGTAGGCAACCGCGAAATCACTCTGCAAGTTGAGCAGGATACTGTAGGCTCAAAGCTCAAGTCGCACTCAAGCAGAAGATTCACTTCATCAAGACCTCCCAGCGAGAGACTGAGGCACAAGCATCCGGCCCGCCCCCTATTTCAAATAAAACTCTCGCCCGATTCAGGGCTTCCTGCCCCTTCGAGAGGTCAAGCTGCAACGGACGAATGTGTTCTTCAACTTGTTTACAACATGTATGAATGAGGGTTCATAAAAAGGCAGTATGAAAGAAAAGCCCTAAAACAACAAATCAAAATTGGACTCGGTTCTCTGAGTCATTTTGTCATGTTGTTTTTCTTCGAACGATAAAGCCATATCTTCTGCAAGTGTTCAAAGAATGTAACAAGACGCTTGTCACCTTGCATGCGGGCGACACAGCTCAACAAGTACGTACGAAGTGGTTTAAGCTTGTCGGAACACAATGGGCTGCTCCAGTCGCCACAAGAGTGACGCCCTGCCCCATCATGGAGTACCCAAGGTTCTGCTTGGATCTCCTTTACTGGAATCAAGGCTGAGGCTGAAGCAATTGTGTGATCTTCCGAAGGGCCCGAAAGCAGGGGTCTGATGTTACGTGCAACGCGAAGGTTTCCGCCAGTGGTTGCGGATATTTGGCTGTGGCTCTGCTCCGAAACACGCCTGAATCAGAGCGACCTTGCATCACTGGCTGAGCATTTCGCCCATGCGAGCAAGTCTGCCCCATGAGACTGAGTGTCTTGAGACTGCTGGCAAACAACCATGTCTTCTGCCAGTTTTCCCCAAAGGCACATGCTGCACAAAGAACAAGCACGACAGAACCTGCATGAAGCCAGCTTTGCGTACACGGTTCTTCCCACGACATGGCTCCTGAAGGCTGTTCCACATGGGAGTGGCCCCCCGCAGCATGCACGACTTTTGCGCACTGACACGCTCGGGAGAGAATCTCATGGCTTTCCTGAACACGAGATTGGGCTTCTGCAGGGATGTCAGGAACCCCATCGAGAAATTCTGGTGTCCGGATCGGGTACGGTTTATCACCCTTAAGTTTCAAGCGGCTATATTCAGAACAGCATGGCGAGGAAGCGCAATACCCCACTATGCCCGAACCGCAGATAAACAAAAGTTGCTCGAAGAAGTCGTTGTTCAAGATATCCATAGTGGGGTCCAAAAGAATATCAATGGACAGCACTGGCAAGCTGAGGGCAGCGACTGCTAGCGACAGGGGCTTATCTAGACCCGAACAAATATCTAAGAAAATCCTTGACCCCGGCTGCTGGGGAATGGGAACAGAGGTAGCTCGAGGAATTTGCTTAGGGGGGTCCGGGACTACCTTTAAGCGATGGTTGGTAAATCCAAAAGGCGAGGCTTTGCCCCAGTTGATTGGGGATCCTGCGATCGGAGATGGTCGCTGTTCGGTGCCTGCTGAAGACGTGACTGCTGCTGGATGCGCCTGCTTGACAGGAGATTCGGGCGGTTCAGGTTCCGAGGAGGCGAG